TGACAGTAGTCAGGCAAGTTTTTTTTCATTATTAGAAAATTGATAAATCAGCAGTGTGCTGCTACCCTATTCTATATGATAATGGCAGTGGATATAAAAGCTAGCTATGTTTCTCTGTCATATTCTGTTACACAGGATGGTGCTCATACTAAGTGTTGAAATGTGTCAGCCTGACCTGGGAGACTTATTAATGGGGCAATGCGGATATCGTCAAGCATTATAGCAAGGGTTCATCAGCTACGGCAGCTTCAGAGGTTTCCATCCAGCACAACCAGGGTTCCTATTACTTGGGAATTGCCAGTAGAACCAACGATAGGGCAAAGTAATTTTCTGACAACGCTTCGATATTTTTTACTCATCTTCAGGTTTACAAAAAGAAGGTAACATACAGAATTACAAGTGTAAAAAAATTAAGAAATGTCCGTTTTTAAAAACCGTTTAAAAGTTTTACACACGCACACACACACATATTTAAATGAATACATACATATACACATACCAACAAAAATACATTTATATTTGAAAATTCAAATTCATTATAAACCTAAGAAGGTATTTATTGAATACGGTATATAAGCAGGAGGCATCATAACAACAGTGGTCTGCTGCTCTGTTCTACATGATAGTTACAAATGTCCGTAGATGAGTACTTCACATCAGTGTGAGCATCAGTGTTACATTGATGCTCACACTGATGGAACCTGCACTGATGACAGCAAAGAAATGAGTGAGATACTAAAGTCCCAATACGACTCAATGTTCAGCGAGTCGTTAAGCAGACTAAGAGTCGACAATCTAATTGAATTCTTTATGACCGAGGCCCAAAATTTGGTCACAAAAAATTTCTGATGTTATCCTAACACCACAAGACTTCGAAAAGGCATTTAATGACATGCCCATGCACTCTGCCCCAGGCCCGGACTCGTGGAACTCCGTGTTCATCAAGAACTGCAAGAAGCCCCTATCACGTGCCTCAGCATTCTGTGGAGAGGGAGCATGGACACAGGGGTCATCCCACACTCGCTAAAAGCAACAGACAGCCCCACTCTACAAAGGTGGCAGTAAAACAATTGCAAAAAACTACAGACCGATAGCACCAACATCCCATATCATAAAATTCTTTGAAAGGGTTCTAAGAAGCAAGATCGCCAACCACCTAGATACCCATCAATTACACAACCCAGAACAACATGGGTTTAGAGCAGGTCGCAGCAGCTACTGGACCTCTATGATAAGGTCCTGGATTCTTAGAAGATAAACAAAATTCAGGTGTAGTATACACAGACTTTGCAAAAACCTTCGCCAAGTGTATCGTAGTGTAATAGTGCACAAAATGTGTGAAAAATGAATAACATGTTCGAGGTTCTGACCAGAGCTTTGGTAAGATGGGAGGGAGGAAGAAGGATGGGTAAGGATGGAATGTAGGAAAGGTTGGGGAGGGAGGAGGGGTAGGTGGGGCTATAAAAGGGTAGTAGTGGCCTATCCACTTTGGTGTAATTTGAACATGCGTGTGTGCATATTGAGTAATTTATAAGGAGGTTGGTTTTATGAGTGGGATATGCCACTATGTTTGGTAGATTGTGGATGCTTGTTGCTTAGTGTCATCATTGATGAATACGGTCGTTGACAACATGCTTCATCATAAATATAACTAGTGCTTAATTTTTCTGTATTCACAATTTATTTTTAATTTGTGTGGCGTCGCAACAGTAAGGGTACAACAGTTCAGGCGCCAAGCGTAGCTGATGACGCTCGTTGGAAATATGGGTGCCAAGAAGCGTGGGTTGAGACCATTATGGGAAGACGTTACAGGAGGGAGTGTTGGGGAAGTATGTGCCAGTAATACAAGCATTCTTTCTTCGTTCCTAGTTTCAGTTCATGATACTGACCAGCTCACAGAAGTGCATACACGTCTCAATCGTATTTATAATTACTTGTGGGTCATTCACCTCATGGCACTAGTGGTGGCGGCTTGATCCATCCTTCGTCTAATAGTGGTCAGACACGCTACCTGCTGTGTCCTAGCTAATTCGTCTTAATCTTCTTTACTTCAAAATTATATTTCTGTCACAGTTTTTCGTTTTTTAATTAGACATGCTTCCTTTATGCCTTATTTATTTATGATTTATATTCACTGCGTTGTGCAGGCGTTGTGCAGAGAGGATGGGTGGACTGCATATTTTTAGACCGTAAGCCAGCTTTCCATACAATGAGAAATATTCAAGCAAATTGTGGAGGCTGTCCTTGGAAAAAGGAAAGATTGTATCATGGATAAGGGAATCAGAGTTACTATAAGCGATTAAGTTTGAGACCCTTAAGAATCAGTTAAGTCCATATTTCTAAAATATTATTACTACAGTGAAAACAAGAATAAACTACTATACACTCTTGCTTGCGGATAATGTTAAACTAATGAGAATATAAAAAGAGATGGAAGAAGGCTGCAGGAAGACCTTTATAAAATTGTTATTATTATTATTAGTAGTAGTAGTAGTAGAGTTAGTAATAGTAGTAGTAGTCTATGTACTGAAGTTTGTGATCAACTTATGCTGTAAAGTGCAGAATATTTGGTGAAATGTGTCGATAGTTGCTGAAATGTGAGTGATAACACTTGCGATATGTGTTACACCGCTATTTCACCTGTCCCTCGTAACACCTAAACACTTACCTGTGTTATGCATACAGCATTCGCCTGGAAAAGTATAACATTTGTTACTGCTACAACAAGTTAGTATATATTAATAATGACTGATAAGCACAGTGTATTATCGATAATGGATATAATTCTATATAGTGATTATATAAAATGTATGCATGCGTTGATCACGAAGACATGTGACTGATGAATAAATGATTGCAACGCATGAAGTGAATAATGTATTCTAGGCACTTTTTTCTTATAAACACGTATTCATAAATTACTTCTACATAAGAGCTATGAAGGACCGCAAAATATGAGAAATAAGTATATGTGGGGTACATGCCAGGTAACATGTAGAGGAAGGAAGGAAGGGAGGGACCTGTGTTAGAGAAACAGGTACAAGCGGAGCACACGCCAGGCACAGGAAGGAAGGTCATTCGTAGCGACGTCTCATGTTCCTAATCCTTTCACTGACGTCAGGTCGATACACCTGCACTATGACACCGGTGACTGTACTCCGTAGCTCAGAGCAGCGCTGGATGACCTGTACATATAAAAAATCATTATTCAAAATTTTCAAGGATCTTTATTATAAAATAACAGTGTTGTAACTTAAAATTATATTCACCTCTGATTAAACGTCCTAATTCTTCATTATGGAAGCAAGTATTATGAAGGCCTCAGTTTTAAACTAATACACAGTACCAGAATATGATAATATCACATATAATACTAAAGCACAGTATCAACATGGGCTTAAAATATAATGGAACTAGTATGAAGTGGGACTTTTCACAGTTGCTTTTCGCTGTTAACACTGCTATTTCAAGAAATTCAGAAGAGAGGCTTAATAAGTTAAAGGTGGAATATGGGAAGGTGTGTAAAAGAAAGAAGATAAAAGTGAGCGTAGAAAGAACAGGGTGATGAGGGTAAGGAAAAAATCAGACAATGAAGGTTGGATGGAAGGATTATGGAGAAAGTTAATGTGATATAAACCTTGGAAATTGATACCGACAGAATGGTTTTAAAAAGAAACGTGAGCGAACACTAGGACATTTATTAGAAAACGTTTCGGTCCTGGAACCTTGATCGTTTCTAGAAGTGTTGATTCAAGGTCCCAGGACCGAAACGTTTTCTAATATATCTAAATGTTTGCCCGCGTGTCTGAAAATGAATGCTTTTAGTTAGTTAAGAGTGGATATGTCAGCAAGTGGGTCTGTGAATAACAGGATAAATCATAGAAGAGACGAGTGAGTGAATGTAAATGGGGTGTTGAGGAGTTTGTACAAAGAACGAAGTTTATCAGTGTATGTACAAGAGGATTGTACCATTATATAGTGGTTCCATTACTTATAATGGTGTGAGGCATTTTGTTCAAGTGTTGCATCGAGGAGGCTGGTGGCGGTGGAGATGAAGAA